GTTGAGCCACACCTGAGTCACCGGAGCAGAGCGATGTAGCTAGAGATAAGTGAGCATTCCACTTCCATAGCCACCACTCACTGGCCTTCAGCAAACTGGTCTTAAAACCTGTTAAATACGGACAGTATCTCCTACTCTGGAGGGTTGAAGAGGACCAAACACGAGGGGGATAGAAGAGTCCCTTAGTGTTGGGATCCGTGTGTTTAACAAAGTATCACTCTTCCCCAGTTACACAGTGTCCTAAGCCTGCCTTACAGATGTTGAGTCTCTAGGTTTGGGGCAAGCCTGACAGTCTGCATTTCTAACTAGTGCTCTTGTGAAGCTGAGAGCAGTATAGCAGATGGTAAGGTGGTGAATGGTGTTTGCGAACGCAGATGTTTGATCTGCCTAATCAGACTTGTTCAATACTGTCTGCATGCAAGTTAGAAGCCCCCAGGAAAATTGCAAAATGAACACCTGTTCTACCCCAATAATAACTTGATCTAAAGAATCTGAATTAGGGCATTAATACTTTTGAAAATAAAATAAAAAATTTTTTGCTATGGTCTGGATATGTGCTCCTCAAAGGTTCCTGAGCTAGGGTGTGGCCTCCAGGGTAGTGGTGTAAGCTTTAAGTGGTAGGGTCTAACTGAGAGGTAATTAAATCCCAAATGTCCTCACTGATAAAAAGAGTGACATCTGTCTCTGAAGAGTGGGTAGCTATAATGGGAAACTACCCCAAAAGTATGGCTATCCCTTTCTGCTTCACCAGGTTAGGACACAGTCAGGGCTGTTGGGTGGCACCAAGCTTCTTGGACCCTCCACCACCAGAATATTGAACCTCAGTATAAAGCACACAGGTATTTTGTTAAAACAACACTGAGTGGGCGGAGGCAGTGTCCCAGAAGGCTTCCGTGTCAGGCCAGCTGAGGTATTCTGCTTGGTTAGTCTAACACACAGACAGCCAGCCTTGAGAAAGAATTGTGCGTAGAATCCATTACAAGTGGTTTCATTTCCTCTGTGATTCACAAAAAGCTGAAAGGTATAGAATTTCAAAAGTATGTTGCATCTTCGTAAACAACCCATTTTATGAGAAATCAAGCCCAATGCTCTGCATGCCGTGGAAGTTATAACTGAGACGAAATTAGCCTAAATAACAATCCTCCTGTGAAGTCTTCTGATGCATGGGTTATATCTGCTAACTGTTCTTTCTTTTTGTGAATGTTAACCCCAAGGCCCAAAAATGTTGCCTGTCTGAAAGTTAAAATGTATTTCTAAAGCTCAAGGCATGTATTCTGCAAGGGGTTGGGGTGAGGGTGGGGTTGAAAAGAAAAGAGAAGCCATGTGTTTATAAAAGGTTGGGGCAGAGGATGGGGGAAGTTCTGCTGTAATGACGGGGGAGTTCCAGAGGAAGTTACAGGCTCACTATCTCTCTCTCGTGAGAAGAAACTATAGAGTGGTAAACAGCTTAGCCGTCAGCCATCAACAAATCTCCAGATCTATCCAGCTCATTACTCAGACAGACCACTAAACTTCCTTGCACATCCCCTCTCTCCCTTTCCCCACCTCTCTCCTTGTTTTCCATTTGGACACCTGTAATTTAAAAGGGGGGGGACGTACTTTAATAGTAGTAAGTTTCTAATCTAAATGCTCAGAAAATAGCTAGTATATTTTTGATGAATGATTAATACTTACGATTTCTCCCAGGGAACAGAGTGGATTTGGAATAAAGTATCTTTTAGTTATAAGAAAGTGAAGGGTTTAGAGATGATTTCTGGTTTAGCCACTTTTCTCCCTGGCTGTACCAACGTAACAGCCTGGCAGACGCAACTTAAGAGAAAGGGTCTGTTTTGTTTCACCATTTGAGAGGACACCGTCCACAGTGGTGGGTGAGTCAGGGTAGCAGATATGAGGCGGCCGTCACATTGCATCTGCAGTCAGGAAGCAGAAGGAGATGGATGCTGACACTCAGCTCACTTTCTCATTTTTATTTAGCCCAGGACCGCAGCCCATGGGATGCTGTCACTCCCGTTCCAGGTGGATCTTCCCTGCTCAGTTAAGCCTCACTATAAACCTCCTAGGTGTTTCAAAACTTCCATCAAATTAAGATTAATCATCACAGGACCCATAATAAGAGCTCTAAACACCGAGAGAGTCCTGTTATGGACACTATGGGTAAGGTACAGAAGAACCTGTCGTTTCAGCATACAAAGATGTCTACAAAAACTGGAATCATACAGGAATTCCTGAGCTACAGCATCCTTTTATGCTAATACGATCTGAGGGTCTTCTCAGCCTGATCCAGCAAGGACTCGAATGATTTACACTATTTTGCATAAAAGCATACACCTTAGAGCCTTTCTCTCGGCCCTATGTTACACAAACAAATGCTGGGCATGTGTGCATCTTCTCTATACTACAGATCTGTGTGAAATGTGCATTCATCTTCTAGCTGTAGTCAAGGCAGAGAATGGAGGCAATAAACCATCCAGCCATTTTTGGTAAAGCTCATTTGTGCAAATCACTGTCTGGTCTGCTGGGTGGTAACCTACAGTTGCTGATTCGTGGAATCTCTTGTGAAATATACCTCAGGGAGCAGTGAATACAGGCAGACTCGGGGTCTTTCTTTTCACCACTCTCTGATTCTCCAGAGCTGAGATTAATATGCTGGATACTAGGAAAATGCCAAAGAAAACAATCTTATTCACTTCTAAAGTTTGAAGGAAAATGGAAGTTCAGGAATTAAAAGAGACTTGCAAGCTGAGTGTAGCCACACCCTGGCCATTCAGCACACCCTGGCTACCCCAGCACTCAGGAGGCTGAAGCAGGAAAGACTTGAGTCCAAGACCATACAGGACTATGTAACAAGTCTTTTAACCAAAGACAATCTAAAAGAGAATTGAATATAAACCATCAACCAGCAGGAAAACCAAAAGTTACTCCAACTATGGAGTCAAGCCAGGGAATGGACAACATCCTGGTTAATTAAAATATCCTAGCTTGCCACAGTTGTGCTGTGCACCTAGAATCTGAGGACTCAGAAGGCTGAGGCATGAGGAGGTTGAGTTAACAGCCAGCCTGGGATACATAGCGAGACCCTGTCAGTGAAAGAAAGAAAAGAAGGGAAGAAAGAAGGAAGAGAGCAAAGGAAGGAAGGAAATAAGGAAGAGAGGGAGGAAGGGAGGAGAGGACAGACTATCCTGGCTAAGAAAGGATTACTGCACACCCCATATGTTGATTACCACTTTCCCAAGACTTAAACATCACCTGGAAGAACAATTTCTGAGTGCTTGCTAGCTGCCAGACATGGGTGATACATGTGTTCCACCTTGCTCAGATTTTCCCACAGAACCAAGAGATGGATACTTACCTTATACAGATTCATAGAAGCATCCTCATCCCCGCTCCAAAGGTCCCTAGCTAATCCTGGTATTGGAATTTGAACCCAAGCTCACCTGTCATTAAATGAGAATAGTTTTTAAAAGCTCACAAATATTTGATGATCAGATGATTTTCTTATATGAATGATGAAAGAGATCTATTGAGTATAATTCAATCCAGTCTTCTATGGTGATTTAGAAATAATTTCCATGTCTTTCCATACTTCCATCACTGGGATACCCATTCATTACCGAAGGATGCAACATACAGTTTCTACATGCAAACACTGCCTACACTGTTTCTGCTCTGTTACAGAGTTAAGTCAATTCATCCTTTAAAATGCAAGCAAATGGGTTACTCTGTATAGGAAGAAACTCAGTAACACACTAGTAAAACAGAGGCTGAGAACAAAAGCAAACACTGGCAATCAAGCCATCTTCCCGAGTTCTTGCCAATGCTAGCCATCTGCTGAGGAGCTCCTTACCTTAGCAAAAGAAGAACTATCCATTCCAAAAGAATAGAGACAATTAGAAAACATGTGGTTGAAGGGTTGGAATCAAATTGAGAGGGGAATAAATTTCTCTCTAAACAATTCAATTCCCTTTAGGCTTTGGTTTTGCGCCACATGAAACCATCTTGAATGTCTCTGGTGAGAGTCGTCTCACATTTTGGAAACTACTATGAATAGAGACTACAGCTTCTCAAGTCAAGCACCAGTGGGCCCTAAACTGTAACCATACTAACTATATTCTTGGAGCCAATGTCTTTGAACAAAATTATAAAATCTTAATGACAATACATGTTTCAGGTCATAATATTAGGTAATATAGTTACAAAGTACCTTGCATGGAACTTGGCCCATAGTAGTTAAAAAAAATAGTTCCTTTTTCCCCCTTTGACTTTCTTAATCCAAAAGAGTGAACATCTTCATTGGGTTCCTATGACTTGGTATAACAGCATCTGAAACCTTGAGAAATCCTGGACCAGTCTTACCTGTGCACTCTTAGGCAAGTAATTTAACCATTCTGTGCCTCATTTCATTTTAAAGGGGGTAGCAATGCTGCCTGTCTCCTTGGCTTCCAAGGGGGCTAAAGGAGGTACTAATGTATCTACAAGCTCTGTGAGAGATAAGAGGTATCGTTACTACCACTGGGTAGAGCTGGTGATATTTGGCAAAGAGAAGTAAAAATTGATTTCATAGGAACTAAAGAAAATCAGCCCATAGGAATATAATGATAATAAATAAAGCAGATCTCAGTGATAGGGCAGCCTAAGGAACGTCTTTGGTCTCAAAAGAAGGACTGCTCTGGATTGACTGCAGGGCCCTGAAGAGCTAGCGGGAGATGTTGTTGGAGGCAAGCAGGCCTGTCCATCAAAAGCTCCTGCTGGGGTGTTCAGGAGAAACAGGAGTGTGGATCGGGTAGGAATGTTCAGATGAGAAAACCATCTCCAGGTCCCGAAGCAAGAACTCTACTGTTTCTATATGGGATGAGGGAAGGGAAGAGAGGAGCCCAGAGAATAGCATGGGTTTCCTAAAATCTGAGGGAGGGAGGGAGGGAGGGAGGGAGAGCAACTCTCCCTCCAGAAGAACTGAAACGTGACTTAAAAGTAGACAACAGCAAGTTGTGTCTCCCTTGCAGCTTTATTCACGGTGACAGCCCCTAAGGAGGTGTACGTAGTAGACTTCGGCGGCAGTGTGAGCCTGGAGTGCGATTTTGACCGAAGAGAATGCACTGAAGTGGAAGGGGTAAGGGCCAGTTTGCAGAAGGTAGAAAACGAGACTTCTTCACAAAGTGAAAGAGCCACCCTGCTGGAGGAGCAGTTGGCCCTGGGAAAGGCTTTGTTCCACATCCCCAGTGTCCAAGTGAGAGACTCGGGGCAGTACCGTTGCCTGGTCATCTGTGGGGCCGCCTGGGACTACAAGTACCTGACGGTGAAAGTCAAAGGTGAGTGTTCGCAAGTCATCGCTGATGGAGGCCGTGACAGCTTATACAACAGCACGCTCCTCTCGGGTACCTCAGGCAAAAGCCAGACACCAGGTCTAAAGAGGCAGCTCCTTCAAAGGGGTAAAAAGTACCTGAATGGAAACATTTTTTGACATCTGATATAAGGTATGAGTAAAGGCAAATGGGGGCGGGAGTGGTTAAAGCCTATAGTGGGGCTAGATGAAGCCAGGAAAATGACCAGACACCGGGCCTCTTCCTCTGCTGAACTCAAGGAAAGCATTGGGTGAAATAACTTACTAATGGAGCCACATCTCTGCCTCCCCTTGGAAACAGGAGAATACGGCTATCTGGAGTCAAGAACACACTGTCCTGACTTTCCAAGAGGGCAAGCTTTTGAAATTACAGCCAGGCCCTATACTATTCCATAAGCTGTTTAAATGCCAGATTGAAAGCAATCCTCAAAGATTTATTTCAGTGGTTGTCTTAGTCGGGGCTTCTATTGCTGTGATGAAACACCATGACCAAAAAGCAGTTGGGGAGGAAAGGATTTATTTGGCTTACACTTCCAGATTATAGTTCATCATTGGAGGCCATCAGGACAGGAACTCAGGCAGGGCAGGAACCTAGAGTCAGGAACCCATAGAGGATGCTACTTACTGCTCTGCTCCTCATGACTTGCTCAGCCTGCCTTCTTATAGAACCCAGGACAACCAGCCCAGGGATGGCACCACCCACTATGGGCTGGGCCCTCCCCCATTGATCAATAATCGAGAAAATGCCCTACAGCTGGATCTCAAGGAGGCATTTCCTCAACTGAGGCTCCTTTTTCTGTAATGACTCTAGTTTGTGTCAAGTTGACACACAAACCTAACCAGCACATATTCCTTACATGGACATGCCCACCTAGACACATACATGCCCACAGAAACAAACACCACATACCCTCCCCACACACACACACACACACACACACACACCACACGCATACATACACCAGGGAAATAGAAACCATGAAGGATATAGAAATCTAAGGTAGAAAGCAATCATTCTTTTAATGTTAGAGGCTGAAAATTCAGCAAGGGAACAAGCAATAATACTAAGGGAGGGGTGGGCAGTGGGACTCCTGGGAACGTCACTTGGTGACTGTTCAGGGAGAGCCGGTGCCAGAAGTGAAATGATTCTGCTGCTAGAGACACCGTCAGAGCAGAGCAGAGAGATAAGTCCTTTAATTGACAAGAAAGCTGACTGTCTGAAAGATCATGTCGCCAGCCCTTGGCTAAGACATTCCAGATTCTTAGCCACTGCACCTACTATGTTATTTTACGAAGCCACGCAAGGGTCTGGAGGAAGAAGCTGATGGCAAAAGAATGAGCTTCCCCAATGGAAGTGTAACTACTTTGTGCTTATGGCAAAGATGGCTTCTGGGGGAAGTAGAAGCTTCCATTTTTAGCTACATTTAACTACAAGTTAGGTAGCTAGCAGATTGCTAGTATGAGAAAAACAGATGTTGCTAAAGATGAAAGGCCGTGTTTTCATTTGGTCTACTTTAGATTTCACTGTGGTCTAGCCACAGTGCAAATCAGGATAGAGGTTCCTCAAAAAACTAAAAATAGTACTATCGTTTAATCCAGCTACAGTACTAAGTATAAATTCAAGGACCCTAAGTCAGCCTACCATAAAAACATACAGCACATTTAATGTGGAATGATTCCTATTAGGCAGGTTACAGTCTAGTGGCCCACAACAGATGAGTGCATAAAGAAAATGTAGTATGTGTGCTGAATGGGATATTCAACCATAATGAAGAAAATAACCATGTCCTTTATAGGAAAATGGATAGACCTGGAAATCACTGTGTAAAGAGACATAATGAAGACTTGGAAAGAAATGTATAATATGTTTGGTTTCATGTGTGCACCATAAAGGCAAAGGGATGCCATCAAAGTAAAAAGGGACTAGCAGGGAGGAGGGAGGAGGGAGGAGGGAGGAGGGGGACTGAGGGTAATGGAGGGGTCAGTGTGCATATGAAAATGACAATATGATCTATGTTTTCTACAACTATTATATGCAATAGAAAAATGGCAGGATCTTTAAAAAGCCACATTTCATACTAGTAAGACTCCACACTCTAGGGAGACATAACAATTCTAAATGTATGCATATCTGAAAATATAGTTTCAATATATTAAATATACATTGGAAAGTTGGATATTCCTTCCTGAAGCTCCACCCACTTTCAGAAGTTTTTTTTTTCTAACTTTTTCCTTTAAATTATTTTTATATTTTGAAATTATAATTATACCATTTTAATCTTCCTTTTGAGCACTCCAAACCCTTCCATATCAATCTTTTTGCAAAGTCATTGTTTGTTTTTCATTAATTTTTGCTATAGACACATGTACATGCATAAACACACACACACACACACACACACACACACACACACACACACACATATATATATATATATATATATATATATAT